ATTTTCTTGTTGGAGGACTTCATTTAACTTCTCTGTAAGTTCGAGGCCAGCCTGGTCTATTGAGCGAGTCCAGGACAGCCAAGGCTGTTACACAAAGAAACTCCGTCTCAAAACAACAAAGAAACAAAAAAAGTTTAGTTTATCTGTACTATGAAAGTAAGTCATACCTGTCAAGGACTGTATGTGTTATGAACTGACTCATAGTCACCAATCGTTAATTTGGTTTGCATTTCCCTGGTTACTGTTGAGATGGGCATCTTTCCACATGGTTTTGACTATCCATATAAGTTTCTATCCACACTGTATATGTGTTTTTATTCTTTCTCTATGTGTGTGTGTGTGTCTGTGTGTGTCTCCCTTGCTTTTCTTCCACCTCCTCCTTTGCCTTTTCTACTTTTTTCATCTTCTTTCTCTCCTTCCTCTCTTGCTTCTTTTAGACAGTTTTCCTAAGTATCCCAAGCTGGCCTCAAACTCACAAACCACCTACCACAGCCTTCCAAATACTGAGTCACCGCCTTGTGCCACTACCTCACCTTCAGCCCATTTTCTATCTCCCCTCCCCCCCCCCCCCCCCCCCCCCCGGTTTATTTTGAGACAGAGTTTCTCTGTGTAGCTCTGGCTGTCCTGGAACTTGATTTGTAGCCCAGGCTGGCCTCGAACTCACAGAGATCTGCCTATTCCTGCCTCCCGAGTACTGGGATTAATGGCATGTGCCACCACTGCCCAACATGCTGTCTTTCTTGAGGGCAGAGATGTTCATCTATTTTGTTCAATTACACCTAGAACAATTTGTGGGACCCTGAGGGGGTCAAGTAAAATTGGCTGAATAAGTGAATTGCAAGTCCCAAGACCCACCTCCAGCCCAGGCTCTTGCATTCACTTGCTAGGGAAGTTTGGGTGGTAAACCCCACAAGGCCAGACTCAAGTTCCCACGTTGGTAACACGAGGAAGGGTGTCTGTGTGTGTTTGAGGGGCCATGCAGCCTACTGGACTCAGGGTCATAGGATGACAAACTGACCAGGCTCAACAGTGGTGTTTGCTGCCCCCTTGTGATGGGGCCGACTCTTCCCTTAGTACCACTGAGGCTTATGCCCCTCTAACTTCCTGCCTTGCTGGGGAAATGGGTATGTGGGAGGGGAGGAAGAGACAGGACATCCTCTGTAGGGATGGCATCCCTTCTGCTGCTTCACGTTCCCCAGCCCATCCTACCCCCTGGCCTCAGAATTTGATATCTATGAAAGATCTCTTGCTCTCTAATACTTTCATACCAATCACTGTAACCGTCGTAGGTGAATTGTTTGCCATTCCCCCAAATCCTTGCCAAGGATGTGACTATATTTAGAGGTAAAAGTAATCATTTGTCCAGGCCCTGGTAGCACATGTCTTTAATCCCAGCACTCAGGAGGCAGAGGCAGGTGGATCTCTGTGAGTTCGAGGCCAGCCTGGTCTACAAATCGAGTTACAGGACAGCCAGAGCTGTTACACAGAGAAACTCTATCTCAAAATAAACAAAGTGATTATTTGAAGATGGAGGGAAAAGATGGCCATTGAGAAGCCAAGGAAGACAAAGAAGAAACCATCCCTACCATTACCTTGGCCTTGGGCTTTTACAGACATGTGACAAAGTATTGACCCTCCAACCTCACCCCCTTGTCTAGAGCTGAGGCTCGAACTCATGGCTTCACGCTTGCTAGGAAAGTATGCTACGTTGCACCTCATCCCCAGCCCTAATTTCCTGCTGCTTGACTCGTTCAGTCTGTGGTACTCTGTGATAGCAATCGTAGAAAATCAATATGCCCTAGAATTCACACCTGTGTTTGTAGTAGTTTAACCTGAGAAGTGCCATGTGGGGCCGGAGGTAGCCATTCTACAGAGGTGAGAGGGCTAGAGGGGGAGTCCAGTGATAAGAGTGCTGGCCTAGCACATATTACAGACTATTCCTTTACACTGTGTGAAGATGTATCACTGTGATTGGTTTGATAAAGATCTGAGTGGCCAATAGCTAGGCAGGACCTCTGGGGACAGAGAGGACTTGGGGAGGAAGAAAGGCGGAGTCTCCAGCTGGACTCAGAGGAAGCAGGACATGTAGGAGGAGAGGTAAAGACCATGAGCCAAAAAAAAAAAAAAAATAGAAATTATAAGAGCTAGTTAGAAACAAGCCTAAGCTAAGGCCAAGCTTCCCTAATTAATAAGAAGTCTCTGTGTGGTTATTTGGGAGCTGGCAGGTGGGACAGAGAAAGACTGGTTACAAGCACATACAGCACCCTGGGTTCAAGCCCTGGCACTGCTGAATAGTGAGGCTCAGGGAAGGGCAGACAGCAGGACTAGGATGCTCAAGATGCAGACCCAGCTACCTTGCTCTTCTGAATCTTAGAGCCTTTCCTGCAGTGCGACCCAGCCGGAATGCCCCTGCATTAGATGGTCCATCTTACAAGGATTAAGACCCCCTCCCCCCCCTGCCTATTCCAGCCCATACTGATCCCTTTTGGGCCTCATTTTTGGGATCTAGGTTGCTGCCTCTCTTTGCTCAGCAGCACTGTGTTCACTAGGCTTCCTCTCAGACTGGACTCAACTGCTGTTCCTAAGTTTTGCAGAAAAAGTATGTACAATACTACTTGTTTGAAGACAACTTCTCATGTAGCTCAAGCTGCCCTGACTTGAACTTCAGTGATCCTTTCACTGCTCACATGCTGGGATTCTAAGTGTATGTTACCCACTCCTGGCTTAGTGCAAGATCTTGCATTTTTCTTATTTTTGTAGCAAAGCATATCTAATGTAAACGTTACAGTTTTAACCATTTGAAGTATACAGCTCATCGGTATTAAGCACAGTCACCACCGTAACCATCATCCATCTCCAGAACATTTCCATAATTTATAGCGAAACTCTTCCCATTAAGCAATAACTCCCTCTGTTTTCGGCCCTTCTAACTGCTGGGATAAAATACCTGAAAAGTTTAAAGGAAGATTTATTTTGCCTGCTGGTTTCAAAGGTTTTCAACATGGTCCTAGTAGGGAGGACCATGGTGGCAGAGGAGCAGTCTACCTCATAGTATCCACGAAGAAGAGAAAGAGAATGAATACCTGCAGCAATTGGCTTTCTACTTTCAAAAAGTCATTTTTATTATGTATGTCCATAATGTATGGGGGGTACACACAGGCCATGGTGCACATGTTGAAGTCAGAGGACGACTGTGGAGTCAGTTCTCAATCTTTCTATCTTTAGCTGGACTCCCAGGATTAAACTCCAGTTCTCATGTTTGTGGGGTAAGCACCTTACACATTGAATCATCTCCCCACCCTAACGTACTCTTTAAATTTTATTTCATTATTATTGTATGTGTATGGGTTCTTTGCCTGCATGTATGTCTGTGCACATGTGTTCAGGACACAGAGAGGCCTGAAGAAGGCATCAGATCTGGAACTGGAGTTACAGACTATTGTGAGCTGCCACATGGATGCTGAAAATCAAATCCAGGTCCTCTGGAAGAGCAGCCAGTGTTCTTAACCACTGAACCAGCTGTCTAGTCCCTAATGTACTCTTGGCATGAAGGTAAGCCCTTTACTGAGTATGGAAAGGTTTTGGTATTTCTGTGCTAAGAGGATCTGAGCCCGGCCTGGGTTGGGGAAGCCTGTCTTATGAATCCAGGTTCCATATTCTTGATCTCTACATTGTCTCTAAATATATCTGTCTCCACTTTCACACAGACTAGACCTGAATCTTTGCTTTCCCTTTTAAACTGCTCCTCCCAATTGCCCCATATCAGTTAACAGACAGCCTGGCAGCCATCCATCTACATCAAGCAGAAACTTGGAAGTCAACTTTGATCTCATTCCCTAACACCCACTCGCCCAATTTTGGATACTTTTGCTTTCAAAATATTTCTCAGATGTTGCTCAAAGTGAGTTACCTGCCCACTTAAAAAAAAAAAAAAACAAACAAACCTCTGAGTTCGAGGCCAGCCTGGTGTATGGAGTGAGAGATCCAGGACAGGCACCAAAACTACACAGAGAAACCCTGTCTCGGAAAAAAAAACCAAAAAAGTAATAAAAATCTAAAAAACAAAAACAGCACTGAAAAAAAAAAAAAAAAAAAAAAACCTCCTTTCACCCAAAGCCACTATCATAGATCTCCTAGAAGACTACAAAAGGCCATTCACTAGTTGCTCTGTTTCCTTATTTTTAAAATGTACTGTTTGAGATAACGTATTGATACGTAGCCCGTTCTCAAAAATGACCTAGCCTCCTCCCTCAGCCTCCAGGGTGTTGGGATTAAAAATGGGCCACCACGAATACTCAACACACACACACACACACACACACACACACACACACACACACACGCTTTTAAAATTCCTGTTATATTTGTGTCTCCAGAGACAAATGTTCGTTGTTGTATAGTTCCTTTCAGAGTCGCAGCGTCCTTAGGCGCTAACTTGGCTGTTACATGTTCACCTCATCATCTACCCTACTAAAAATCCACGGGAACTCCTCAGGCAGCAGAGGGTGGTGTTGTGGAGCTATGTCCCTGCCTCCCCATCGCTGACAAAATGAATCCCTACGCTCTTTTAGACCAGGTTCCATCCCGCTATGCAGTTTGCACTCTTCACTCAAGGCTGAATTCCTGTCCCCCTCCCCAGCATCCCACTCGCCATATTATCTCTACTGCAGCACCTGCCCCCGTCCTTCACCGATCTCAAGATGATTTGGGATTACAAATTCACGGGTGAATTTTTGAAAGGTCCTCCCAAGAGGGAGAACAGCGTTTACGAAAGACAGAAAATCCCAGGGAAGCTTCGAGTTTAGTGAAGAAGACCACTATTCCCAGAAGCCACTTCACCGTGGATTGGCTCTTTCCCCACCCAAGACTCTCAGCACGGAGAAGACTGAGCATGTGCGAAGATGACTGCGCCTGTGTAAAAGACTACACGGCTGAGGACTTCATCTCCCAGCAGGCTGTGGGGGCGTGCGTCAGCGCCGCGTGACGAGCAACTTCCGGCGTGGAGGGGCGGGGTTGCGCGCGCGGCTGAGGCAGCAGCTGGAGCTGGGAGGGGAGCGGCCCAGTGGCCGCTAGGCGCTCTCCGCCATGGAGGCCGTGCCCCGGATGCCCATGATCTGGCTGGACCTGAAGGAGGCCGGTGACTTCCACTTCCAGTCAGCGGTGAAGAAGGTGAGCCCACCTCTGCCGCGGTTCTCCGTCGTCTGCCCGCGCGTGACGCCCCCTGCGCGCCTGTCCCTCCCGGGGTTCCGTCGCAAGTCGGGCCAGGCGTTTTTCCTTTCCTTTTCCTTTTCTCTTCCCGTGCCCGCACATCATCCTTATCTCCGACTGGCACTGCATCCTGGTGGGAATCTGCTTTCCGACTTCTGTCCTAGACCACCTGCATTTCTATCCATTTCTACCGAGGCTCCGTGTTTCCTTGCTGTGACGTTCTGGACCCAGCTCTGCCCTGTCCCTTCAAGGCCAGGAAGCCCCCATGGGCAGTATGGCGGTCCAGGGTGTGCAGAGTCCACGCTAGGCCCGAGCGTTGGTGGGCTCCCAGTTCACGGCTGGACTAGGAAAGAATGTGTGTTTTAAGACAGGAACCCCAGTGGCCTGTAGGAATGCCGCGCCCCTAGAGAGTGAGTGAGTGTGTGTGTGTGTCTGTCTGTCTGTGTGTGTAGTCGGTCTGTCTGACCTTCCAATTCTGTATGGTCTCCTTACAAAATTTCTGTCCCAAAGTTCCTTTGGACCAAAAGACAGTTTTTTTGTTGATAAGAAGGCTTGAGTCACGCTATAGCTCTTGGAGGCATCCTGTTAGTCATTGTGCTGGGTGGATAGTAGTCATTTGGAGTTCACTGAGGCAAGGAGTTTCTGTGGCAAGATCAGGTGTGGTGATGGGGAATTGGGTACCCTCCAAGATAGCCACTGCCTTAGGAAGGGTCCCCAAAGAGCATTGAGGGCCATAGTAGACATGGGCAGGTGGGAAGCTGTTACAGGTGAGGAGCCTTGGGTGTAGCACCGCAGCTGTTAGTCTATAATCTTTCACCACTCTGTGGTGCTTGGAGAAAGAAGTAGGGGAAAGAAAACGGGCGTGGAAGTAGTTTCTCTCACATCACCACTTGCACTAACTGCTTGTATGTGTGGGCGTGGGATGGGATGAGTTCAGGTGTTGGGTGTCTGTGTGTGTGTGGGGGGGGTATCATCAAACCCAGAGCCTGCAAGTGCTCTACAGAGGTACACCACCCCCAAGCCCAGACCCCTTTTTCATCTGTAAGACCAGCGTATTAAACCAATTGATCTAAATTTACAGAATTTGGTTAATTTCTACCCATCTTCTTTTTCATGCAAATACGAGGTGAATTTTTCTAAAATGTGTCAAAGCTGAGGGAGAAAGATAGAGACTCAGTATGCTGACCCCTTGAATACAGAGTCAAGCCAGTATTTTCAGTTTCCCATTCAGGAGTCTTCTGACATAGCCTAATTCTTTGAGCATTTGTCACCGTCCTGTTATATATGTATGATCTGTGTGTTTCTGATACAGGTATTCCACATTCTGTTCATAATTATTATTTCCTGTTTCCTTAACAGGCTGTTTCTCCTTAATGTGCCTTTGATTGTGGAATTCCTTCTGCTCAAATGACTTGTAATGTAAATATATGATATTCAGGATATCTGATATGCAAACCCCAAAGGGGTTGTGACCCACATGTTGAGAACCTCTGTTCTACCTAAAAGAGCTCTCATTTTTGCCCCTTAAGTTATAGGGCTGTTCTTTAATCTCTGTGAATGGGTTCTATCCAGCTTTCAAGGTCTAGTTGAAGCTCTGTCTTCCACAAAGCTTTCCTTAATCCTTTTATCTGGATTAGCCTTTCCCTTTTCTGAATTTCTTTCCCTTCACCCTTTCTTTGACAATAGTTATATGCACTTTTTTTCCTCCCTCAAGACAAGGTTTCTTTGTGTAACAGCTCTGGCTGTCCTAGAACTCACTCTGTAGACCAGGCTGGCCTTGAACTCATAGAGATGCGCCTGCCTCTGTCTCCCAAGTGCTGAGATTAAAGTTGTGCACCACCAATGCTATGTGCTATTTTTAATATTTATCTGTGTGTGTGTAGATGTATGGGTTCAGGCATGGCAATGCATTTGTGTGGAGGTCTGAGGACAACTTTCAGGAGTTAGTGCTCTCCTTCCACTATCAGGTCCAGGGAATTAAACTCAGTAGCCAGACTTGGCAGCAAGTACCTTTGCCCCCTGACCCTGCCTAGCCATCTCTCTGGCCCTAATGTGCTGGGTTGTTTTTTTGTTTGTTTGTTTGTTTTTTTGAGACAGGGTCTCACTATGTATCTCTGGCCATTCTGGAACTCATTATGTAGACCAGACTAGCTTTGAACTCACAAGATCCACCTGCCTTTGCCTCTCAAGTGCTGGGATTAAAGGCGTTTGCCACAATACTCTGCTTCTATATGTGCTATGTTTTTTTTTTTTTTTTTTTTTTTTTTTTTTTTAAGATTTATTTATTAATTATGTATACAATGTTCTGTCTGCGTGTACGCCTGCAGGCCAGAAGAGGGCGCCAGATCTCATTACAGATGGTTGTGAGCCACCATGTGGTTGCTGGGAATTGAACTCAGGACCTCTGGAAGAACAGCCAGTGCTCTTAACCGCTGAGCCATCTCTCCAGCCCATATATGTGCTATGTTTTAACCCCATATTCAGCTGGGATACTAGAAGGGCATCTCTGTGTTCCTTTAGCTTAATACCTACTACATAGGAAAATGTTTCTCAAATGACTGAAAGACAGTCTAGAGGGAATTTCAATTAGATTTAGATTATGTTGACCCTAAATGGAAAAATTTCAGCCCAGGGGTCAGACAGATGGCCAGTAGAAAATAGAACATCATGCTCTTGCAGAAGTCTGGAGTTTGATTCCCAGGACCCATATTGGTGGGCCAGCTCAAAACTGCCTGATCCACGGGATCAGACTCTCTCTTCTGGCCTCTGAGGGCACCTGCATTTACATGCACATACCCACACCCACATATACATTAATAATAATGAAAAAGAAAATCTCAGCCTAGTCAAATATGGTGGTTACATATCTGTAATCTTAGAATTTGGAAGACTGAGGCAGGAAGACTGAATTCAAGACCTACCTGGGCTACATAATAGCCCAAAACTAGATTTTTTTGTGGGGGGGAGTAGGGGTAGGTAGGAAGCATTGGTTAAGACAGGGTCTTACGGTGTTACAGGCAGTTGTGGCCTCAAACTTGCTATATAGCAGAGGCTAGGCTTGAATTCCTGATTCTTTTGCCTCTGCCTTCCTAGTGCTAGGATTACAGGCAAGTGCCACCACACTAAGGCCTAGGAGATTTTTGTTTGAATGTAGCCTTTCTTGTTGTGGTCATTCATGTACCCAAAACCCTGGGAGCACCTTGCCTTCAGTGAGAGGTGTTGCTCCAGAAATACAATACAATACACATCTTTAGTCTCAGCACTTGGGAAGTAGAGGCAGGTGGATCTCTGTGAGTTCAGGAGCAACCTGATCTACAGAGTGAGTTCCAAGACAGCCAGAGCTATGTAGTAAGATTCTGTATCAAAACAAAAACAAAAAACACGTTTACCTAGATAGACGTCAGAGGAGATTCTGCAGACGTCACTAGACCATCTCAGCCTGTGGGTCATGATCCTTTTGGGGATTGAATAATCCTTTCACAGGGGTCACCTAAGACCATCGGAAAACACAGATATTTACTACCCAAAACAGTAAAGGTCCAGCCTTTATTGTTTTCTCCCAGGGTCCATGGAAGAGTCTAACAACTAGCTGGGGATTCTAATCTGAGGGATATTCAGTGACTCTAAGCACACTGCGTTCTTTAGTCCATTCACTTTATTCTTCTCAGTCAATCCTGTCTACACAGTTTCTTTTCCGTTTTCATACTTAGCTCCTCTCTGTTCCTCCTGCTGCTCTCTCATTATTCTACCTAGTTCTTTCCATCTTTGTTCTCATCTCTGTTCTTTTAAATCAATTCCCTCCAAGTGCTGTGGGGGAGCCGTATATATACACAAGCAGTAATTCTTTGGCAATGCAATGCGAGATTTGAAGTTTTCAGGGTCGCAGAGGAAGGTGATAAGGATCCAAACATAAAGCAATAATTGTCAGCTTCCAATTACAACCCAAAGGGGAGTTCTCCGATAGAGTCAACTAAAGGCTAAGATCAATTAGGGAATTGTAAAAGGTCTTGAGTAAATAAATCGGGATGATGGTAAGGAGTTAAGGATTTGTTTTGTTTTGTTTTGTTGAGACCGGTTTCTCCATGTAGCTTTGGAGCCTTCCCTGGAACTCACTCTGTAGCCCAGGCTGGCCTCGAACTCACAGAGATATGCCTGCCTCTGCCTCCTGAGTGCTGGGATTAAAGGCATGCGCCACCACTGCCCGGTTTATGAGTTAAGGATTTAATTGCTAGTGGTTATTTTCTCTGTCTGTGAGTGAGATGAGCTAATGTTTATCTATCTGCACTTGTACTTAGATAAAAAGGTATCTTAGATGAAATACTTTTGTCTGGAGAATGGCCCTGGAGAGATTTATGTTAATGAAAAATAAACACAGCTGGGGAAAGTTATCCAAATAACCCAAATGTATAGGGCAAGTTGTGCCCAAGATTGAGATGCAGTCATGAGCTCACATGTATACATAACATGGAAATGCATGGTAAATGGGGAGAATCATAGCTGTTATTGCACAAGAAGTTTACAAGAAACAGCCAATTCATTCAAAAGACAATAATTCCATAACGCCTTGCATAATCGTTTCCTCTAACAGAACCCTTAGTTCTGATAGGTTGACCTTCTGAACTCTTAATTGTCACTGCTGTATACTCCCATGGATTTTGCTACCAGCTGCTCTCATTAATATACATTATGATTCATAACTAGCAAAATTATAATTATGAAGTAGCAATGAAAATAATTTATGGTTGGGGGTCATTACAACATGAGGAGCTGTAGTAAAAGGTCGCAGCATTAGGAAGGGTGAGAACCACTGATCTAGAGCCTCGGACTCTCCCTTCCCTAACTATAGTGTCCCCATCCTACTTTTTGCCTCTGGTCTGATTGTTATTCTCTATCCATGCTCTAAATTGCAGAAATTCTACTGTTGACTTTGTGGTAACGGCTTGAATTTAATCTCAGAGGGA